CTCTCTCTCTCTCTCTCTCTCTCTCTCTCTCTCTCATTTACTAGTTTGTCCCCTCAAACAAGTTCCTGCAAGAAAACATAATGTTTAGCCGATTATAAGTCATCCTTTGGAGGAAAAATCTGTTAGCTCTTGCCAACATTTGGGGAAACTGTAAGATGATACAAACTGTATAGAGCAGGTGATTTCTAAAAATGATTCACCCTCAATTTCAGTCAGAAGACAGCATCACTTTCATAAACCATGACAATAATGATCTCGTTGCTAACTTATTACAGCTTGTTATCACGTATACATGGACAGAAGTGACTAACAGAAAAGGAGAATGAAGGAAAGGAAAAGAAAAGCTGACTTTTAAAAAATTATTGAGGACCAACAGTTTGACCCCGAAAATGGTCTTAGAACAAATAAGAGAGTTGACCTATTTCTTCAACTTACAATGTCAGAGAATAATACAATCGAGGCCACATGCAGTGACATACAGGAGGAACTGAGCTCTCAGCCACTTTTCTGTGACAAATCCAGTGAACTTTTAAGCAAAGCATTTCTGTTTGACTTCCTATCCTCCTACTGAAGTTTGAGTGGCATGTATTCAATGAAACAAGATTACCTGATCGACACTCACGCCAACCCTATTCTTCGTTCATCCACTGCCCCCCCCCCCTTTCCCATCCATCCCTCGCCAGAGACATTCCATTAAAAAAACAACCAACCTAACTCTCAACCAGACCAGAAACCCTTTCAAAGACAGAAGATATTTCTTCTTGCTCCCTTGCAATTTCATTTTAGGCAGTGTCCACATTATGTGCTTCGTCGCCTGTAGTGTAGTTCAATGCTTCGCAGTCACATGGGGGAGAATCTATATCAGGTATCTCAGTATCTTTCTGCTGGGATGTAGTATCCCTCTCAGCCTGGGTTGACTTGGCCCTAACAGGCAACATCTGTTGTGTATGGGACGTAACAAGGTTATTGTCCTTCCCTGTTTTAAGGGAGCTACCTCCCGTCACTTGAAGACATGCACAGTAGCGACTAGTGGGGTGAGTAATAAAGTTCAGTTGCTGTCCGAGATACGTGTGGTGGGCAGTTATTCTTGTGCTCGTGTCAGTTAGTGAAGTGTTCCGGATTTAATTGAACCCAAAGTAGACAAACATGGTGTCAGAAGTGATTTGTGTTGTGTAAAATTGTGTCTAAATTGTAGACACATTCACAAGTAAACGTAGCGAGAAGAACAATTTCTTACAAACAAGACAAGGTACGTGAGAAAATGTCGTTTAAACCCCCTGAACAGTTAGCATTCCACAAACCGTCAACATGGTCGTTGAGGCGGGAAAGGTTCTGTCGGTTTCGCCTGGCACCTAAATTGAGTAAAGAGGACGGCGAAATTCAAGTTAGTTTTCTTCTCAATGCAATGGGGGCAGAAGCAGAACAAATCTTTGCCCAGTTCCAGTTGTCAGAGCAACAGCAGAAAAATTTTGACACGGTTTAAACAAAGCTGAATGAATATTTCGTCCCCAAAAGAAATGTTATGGGTTGAGTTGGCCCTAACAGGAAACATCAAAGCTGCCTCCTAAAAGATCTAAATAGTGTCGATGGGGGCATAAAAACACCTATAATTAATTTAACTTAATACACACCTTCTTCTCCGGGTCTGTGGACTTGGTGGGGACGTCATGTCCTGTCTTCCCTTGTCTCGACCTCTCCCTCCCGTCGAGCTGTTTGGCCCCTCTGTTCTGCTCCGCACGACGTCTCTCCTCCACTGCTTCCTCCTCCCGTGACCTCATCTCTGCTAACGTCTGCTCAAACATCTCGTCTTCTCCAGCCATCAACTCAGCCACAGCGGAGTCGTCCAGCATCACCTTTCTAGGTTCTTTCATTGCTCCGCTTGTCATCTTTACATTTGAAGACGAGGATGGTTGATAGGAAGGACAGCTTTTGCTTTTCCCTCCCCTAGACGCATCGCTGAAAGCCTCTTGCAACTCGGGAAAAGTCTCTGCATACGAGAGAAGCCGTGCGCGATGATTGGTCACAAGGTTGTTTTTCTTTAGACATATCTTGTCGCCAATCTGGAAGTCAAAGCGCTCTTTGCGTCCGGAGAAGCTGGGTACAGTGATGGAGTGAGAGTTGTAGTGCAGGCAACACAGTTCATTGATGGCCTTGCAGTGGTTGCTGCAGAAATACAGAATTTCTCATCTTCGTTTTGTTTACTTTGTTTTAGTAAAAGTTTTACAGCACTTGCAACACAATTAGGTTATATAGGTGCGAAAGACTAGAGGTGTTACGAGAGAGTAACAAACACAAAAAAGAAAGGAGAAGAGATAAAGGAGGATAGATATTGGATAGGAAAGAATAAGCAAACCACACCAGAGCACCCACCAAACATGCACTTTCTCATTTTCATTTGAGAAGAGTTCGGAAAGGGGGGAGGGAACAAATAATTATCTAATCCCTCTTCTCTAAAAAATAATTCAACTCTCCTAAAAAAAAAAGAAACCGATTTTAAAAATACAACATTGCCCTCTCTGAAACAATCGGTACATAAAAGGGAAAAAGCCACATAAGTTTTTCCCCTGGTATGCGCTCAAGGACAATAGCCACCTTCTCCTCATACCATCATCATCATTGCCTTTCTCACTCTGCACCAGGGTATAAGCCACGGACAAACACCTTCCACCTTTCTCTATCCTGAGCTAGTCTCTTGATGTTATTCCATGTGATGTTATATAATAATAATAGATAGCATTTGTATAGCGCAAATCCCCGCTCAACAGCAGGCTCTATGCGCTTTACACTATATTATTACCCCAGCAGACCATAGAACACTCCGAAACATTCTCAGCTTCCCGGGAAGCATACAGTGCAAGCAGCTGATTAAGCGCTCAAACACTAACATACTGACAAGATCTTTCGCTGTCTATAGCCGGGTACCTATTCCCACCTGGGTGAAGTGAGGAAAATTAGTGCAAAGTGCCTTTCCCAAGGACACAACGTCGGGTCCCTGACGGGATTCGAACCCACGACCTTACGGATGCGAGTCCGAGAGCCTAACCACTAGGCCACCGACGCCATCACCTGTACAGCAAATTTAAAAAAAAATTGTTCTATTTCATGGCCCTATTGACCCACTTTAAATCATACAGGCAGTGGGCGTGCCTGTTTGGGCCAACCTGGGATGAGATGCACACAACTCCCCAGCAGACAGACTGCGGCACTTATATGACTCAACTGCATTGAAAGTGTTGTAAAACTCTTACTTAAAGAAAAAAAGACAGACGGTGACACCTGGATTAGAAAACCTCCCGACACAGGAATTGGGCACCTATTCAATGCATATTCTTATGAGGCTTCACAAATAAGAAATGCTTATAACAAGTGTGAAGCCCTCAAAGCCGTGCACACCCACAAGGGGAAGTTCAAAACGGAGCAAACTTTTCTCTGCCAGAATTAGTCTCATTGGCTACAGCAGAAGCCAGAGTCATCGTAACGTTTGATTCTCCAAATTCTTCTATCTCACTGGCCAAATATTCTCCTGTGCGGACGTATTGGTCATGGTCAGACATTAATGGACGAGCCATTATTATTCAATATGGGGGGGAGGGGGGGCAACGGTGGCAAAGGAGCCTCACCATTACACCAAAGACCCTGATGCCTGCACCGTAGAGTTTTAACAAAGTTGTGGCCACATAGTCAAAAAATATCCAATCTTCAACAATATTGATAAAACAAATAAGATGAAACAGAGAGGCAATTTCCACAAAGATAAGACGAGACAGAAGGGCATTATAATCCACGAGGAAAATATTTCTTGCTCTTGCTGAAAGTGATATTCAAAGATGAGTTCACAAACAACAGAAATATTACATAGCAGAAAACAAATCATGTGGAAAAAAAGGCAAACAATCATATTTTATAAGAGGCGGAGAGTCAAATGGAAAAAAAAAGTGTACAATTATTTTTCATAAAAAAACTTTTATAAATCGAGGACGTTTATCTTTTACGAAATATGGAGTTATCTTTTATAAAATGAGAAGTCATTTTTTTTTTACAGGTGGGCAGTTATGTCTGATAGAGTGTTTTTTGTTGTTTTAGTAGAGGTTTTATGGCGCTCGCAACTGCATAAGGTCATATGAGCGCCAAGGGGTGGATGTCAACAGAGAAGTCCTTACAGGGAATCAGACTTACTCTGTTCACCTCTCTAGCTTTAACAGCACAAGGTCTGCTTCGATTATCAAGGCACCCCGGAAATAGCGGGTCACAAGAGTGTGACAAACATACAAAAGAAGTAGAAGAAAATGACGGTAGTAAGGATTAGGAAAGAAAAAGCAGCAGTTCCCTGTTGTAGTTCAGACACAGTTATGAGCATGACATTGTTGGATCAGCCCATTTACAATTCTACTGTGCATTAGATCGAGAAATGTCCCCCCTTTGGGAATGGCCTAAAGACACTTGTCAGTGGCACCACCCGGGGGAGGGGGGGCATTGTGCAATTGTCTCTACAAAAAGTGAACAGTTATCTTTTTAAAAGAAAGAGGACAGTTAAGTTCTATTAGGTGAAGACATTGTCTTTGACAGCATCATAATACTTACTTTCTGAAAGTGACAAACTGAGATTGAACATGGTCCTTCATATCCCAGCACCCGGTCAGGAGTTCTCGGATAATTTGATCACGTTCTGAAAATGGGGAGGATTGACTTGAATCTGAGCATAGGTCGAGAGCGATATTGCTGACCTTGTGACAAGACCCGCTAACCCGCGAAATACAAATATTTAAAAAAAATTTAATTTGGCAAATTGATAGTAAACTATCTGTCTCGTTTGCACACAAAAAGAGAGGCCTGGATTTTGACTAGGTGTGCTCCTAAAACACTACAAATAAAGCCAAACAACCCATCGGCCAGCAGGTTTGCTGTGTGATGAAACTAATCCAGTTGTTTTTTTGGTCATGTTGTTTTTCCTGTAAAATTTACGAGGCTGAAGTTATCTGGTCTTCTCAAAAGGGCGATAACATGTTTCAATCTGTTTGTGTAAGATGATAAACAAGGTAATTCAAAGGTAACAAACATCATCAGTTCGGTGATAGAAGGGTGTACTGAGTTTTGAAAAAAATAGAAGATCTATCAGAATTAATATCACAATAACATCATCTATTTGAAAAATGGTGAAATGGTATATGTTTAACACCCCTATCAACACTATTATGTCATTTAAGAGGCGAGACCTGCGAGTTTAACATCCTTCTCCAACAGGACCGAGCCAAATAGGAAATTCGTGTAATGTGTCTTTACCAAGGACACGACGTCGGACCAAGCTGACGCTCGAACCTCCGAACTTGCAATCTCACGATTACGGGTCCGGTAGCTTAACCACTAGGCCACCTATGCCACCTCATCTACTTTCTGAGCTATTTTTGAGTTTTTGAAGGCTCCAGACATTTGTGTGTGCGCCAAGAGAAAAGCACCAAAAGTCGCCCCAGACAGTTTCGAGCTACAGGCTGGTAATGACAAAAATCACTTTTTTGACCAAAATGTGTGTCCATAAAAAAATGATAGATCCACCATTTTTTTACATTGAGCTTTAAAGGTTTTTCATTTATTTGACTTCTGAATATTTTATTCTGAATTATTTTGAGGGTAGGTTATAATAAAAACAAATATGAAAACTGCTTTTAAAAGGTGTTAAAATCTATTCTTGAAGCACGTTTTCTCTTCCCTGCAGTGTTTTACCATTGAATTCCATTCATGATATTGATGTCAACTGAATGCCAAATTGGAAATGAATTTTCCATGAATAAATACATTTAAAAAATAATTTGGTTTTTTAAGTTTGTATAAGTCTCACGTTTTTCAAACTTAAAAGCTCCTTTTCTCAAAATTATATTTTTATACCCTAACTTGCAAAATGTGCAATATCTCAAATACTACTTGAGATATCTAAAAAAATTCAAAGACCCCTGTGTTCAGCATTGAATTTCCTATAAGGTACAACACTCAACTCTAAATGGTCAAAATCCGACTTTTGGTACCTTTCTTTAGGCAACCACACATTTTTTCTAACCAGTTTTATGAATCACAGACATCTTAATTTTAAAAAAAAGTTTTAGTAAGAGTTTAACGGCACTTGCAACACAATAAGGTCATATAAGTGCCGAAGAATAGAGGGGTTACAAGAGAGCAACATACACACAAAAAAACAAGGAGGAGAGATAAGGACGATAGATGTTTGATAGGAAAGAAGGAGCAAACCACACCAGAGCACCAGCCAACCACGCACCACTTAATTTCGCAGCGAACCAACCACCCACTACTTAATTTCGCAGCGAACCAAACAGGCAACATCAGTAAAGCTACATAATATACATGATACAAGACACAGAAATCTCATCACCATTGTCATCTCCTTCGTTTGATATCTCTATGAAATGGAATCCCTGTCGATCATCAAAGGTCGGGAGCTCACGCCTCGAGATGAGTCCAGCATTCTCCACGATGAGCCTGGACTCGGAGCGGTGGTTCTGGGTGAGCTCCATGCTGAAGCCAAACTGAGGGCCCATGTTGCGGAGACTACTGAACATGTCCTGAGAGACAAATTTGCAATAGTTAAATAAAAAACAACAACCCCAAAACCCCCTAAAAATACAACCCCAAAGATGCGACGCTTGACCCTTGTAGCTGTGTTGAAAGGAGACTTAGTTTTAGAGTTTTACGGCACTTGCAACACAATAAGGTCATACAAGCGCCGCAGATTAGAGGTGTTACAAGAAAGTAACAAACACAAAAAAGAAAAAGAAGGAGAGATCAGGATGATAGATGTTTGATAGGAAAGAAGGAGCAAACTACACCAGAGCACCCGCCAACCACCCACAACAGAAGATGTGACGCTTGTAGACTGGGTAGAAGGGAGACAAACGTTTGTTTGTTTGTTTATTTGTTTATTTGTTTGTTTGTTTGTTTGTTTGAGTAAAGAGAAACACATCGACTCAATAATGGTAATTTAGTGCAGGGAAAACGTATGATAGACAGACAGACAGAAACAAAAGAGGGAAAGTACAGAAGTAGGACCTACCAGTGGTGCCCTCCAACCACCCAAAAGGGGGACTTAGGACACACAACATTTTGTTGCCGGAGGGGCCAACTGACTTCGAAAAACATCCTGAACTTCCCCGACACCATGTAGGGACTCGAAATGTACAGATCATATAGTCTAATAATATCTTGTATCTGTATCAAGACAATTCTCTTAAGACATAAAGCGCAATATCTCGATAAATCCTGAAATCCAGATTTCTGGATTTATCTGGATAATCAGCACCTCTGCATTGCACTGTGTAATGGTACAGAAGCATAATAATAATAATAGATAACATTTGTAGAGTGCAAATTCCCGCTCAAAAGCAAGTTCTATGCAATTTACAATCTATATTACTACCCAGCAGACCTGATAGCATTCTGAAACTAAATCTCACCTTCCTGAGAAGCATACAGTGCAAGCATAAGAGACAGGCTGAAACAACAGACGGAAAGTGAGGAAATACAGATTGCCAGTGACACTATCACAAAAAACAAAAGAAAAAGATTTTTGTTTGTTTTGGTAAGTGGTTTCTGGCGCTCACACCAGCATAAGGTCATTTGAGTGCGTGGGACACATTATAATTATACATTTTCAGTTTGGTAGGAATTTTGAATTTTGCTCGGGTTGCGGCACACGGGACTTCTCTGAGATTTTTCGTCCCTATCCGAGAAGGCCAGGATCTTTCCTACTGTAAGATCAGGGGTGTGACTGAAAGACAGCAGTAAGAAAGAGCCTAGGAGTAACAGTAGAAAAGCTGCAGAAAAAGTAAAGAGCCCAGAGGAGGCGGCAAATGAGGAGGAGGGGGGGGGGGAAGCAGAAAGTGGAGAGGAAAGCAGACAACAGAACATGGTTAGAGATCAGGAAACGAGGTCAAAGGAGAAAATTTTAAGAGAACAAAATTTTCCGTAGCTGTCAGGTTTCGAACCCGTGACCTATTGAATGAGAAACGACCACCGTAACCTCTAGACCACGAGAGCCCCCCTAAAAGAGAAAGACAGACATAGTAACAGAAAGTGAGAGGTAGGAAAGAAGCAGGACATGTCATCACCTGTAGGAAGTTCCCCGGTCCGATAGATGGCAGCTGGCGCACGTCTCCCAGGAGGATGAGCTTTCTCAGCCGGGCATGCCTGAGCAGAATGTTCAGAATAGTCGCAAACAGACACACAGAGACCAGGCTGCACTCATCAACCACCAGGATCTGGACAAAGGCAGAGAAAGAAGTGCATAAAATATGGGTGAAACAGTGGATTAGATTCCAAACTAGGATGGGATAAGATGTGAAAAAGATATATATAATTTCCTCACTTCTCACAGCTGTAAATGTCTAGGAAGCCAGAAGGAAGTATATGACTTACACTGTTTGAGCTGCCACACTAAATGTGGATGAGATATTGTGAAGCTGTGCTGTGCATGTGTATGTGTGTGTATGTTAAACAAAGGTTTCACCACTGGGCAAACATCTACTCTTACTCTAGTCTAAATAATGTCCCCCTAATGCCTGATTTGTCTTAGTAAGAGTTTTACGACACTTGCAACAGAATCAGGTAATAAAAGTGTTAAAGATTAGAGATGTTACAAGAGAGCACCAAACATAAAAAAGGAGGAGAGGTAAAGATGATAAATATTAAGATAGCAAAGAAGGAGCAAACCACACCAGAGCACCCATCAACCACCTACCCTATGCCTGATAAAGAGGACCCAGACCAGTCATTCTGTGCTGGGATCCATAAGCCACTGGGCAACCAATATGCTTATAGGTACTTTACATTTTCTGACATGCTGATTTCATATCTCTAAAAACAATTTTTTAAACAGCAAAATTTCTTGTCACTTCTGGCTTTTGAACAATTGGCCATTCACGATTTTATTCGACATTGCTATACATATACAATATTTGTTTTATATAATATTTTAGAACTGCCATAAAGGAATGTTTTTCTTTCTATGCCCAAAAATCTGGAATCCCCTCCCAAAAATTTATAGATCATTTAGTCAAATGGTACTAACGCATCTCATATCGAGACAATTTTTGTATCAACTGCAGCAAATTCTCAACGATTGGCCTGAAGTCAGGCAAAAAAGTAGACAATTTCAGGAATCAAGATTTCCAGATTTCTCAAGAAATTTGACACCTCTGACACTCATAAAATACTGAAATTTAAAAAAAATTTTTTAAACCCTTCTGAAACAAGAACTGACCTCCACATTCTCAAACTTCCACGACTTCTCCGCTTCTTCATCATCCGGTGTGGGTGTAGACTTTTTCTGCAGATAGTTTTGCCTGCTCACGATAACGCTGTGCAGGGTGGCAGACGGCAGCCTCGCTTTGCAGCCCAACAGTCGTGCCGCTTTGCCTTTGAGAACAATGGAAAGGAGAATTGCTAGCCAATAGGTTACATTTAGGAAGAGTTTTTACAGTACTTGCAACACAAATAGGTCATTTAAGTACTGAAGATTAGAGGTGTCGCTAAAGAGTAAAATTCAAACTATGAAAAAAGGAGGAGAGACAGGAACGATAGATGTTTGACAGGAAAGAAGGAGAAAATCACACCAGAGTACCCACCAACCACCCACAGTTTATAGTTTTTAGTATCCCAACAAAATATCAAGATGACAATGGTGAAAAAGCTGTAGACAAGAACAAAAACAACAACAGCAGAAAAAAACAAAACATCAACCTCCTTGCCAGCCGCACACACACACACACGCACGCACACAGTCACGGCATCACAATATATCCCCATCCTTGCTTCCCTCCCCCTTACACACATACACATGCACAGCACAACTTCACAATATCTCATCCACATTTAGTGTGACAGCTCAAATATTGTAATTAAGTCATAATTATACCTCCATCTGGCTTCGTAGACATTTACAGCTGTAAGAAGTGAGGAAATCATACATATTCTTTTCACATCTTATCCCATCCTAGTTTGGAATCAAATCCATTTTTTATGAATGCGAGTCTGACGCAAACGCGGAAGAAAAATACAGTTCAGACATGACCACTTAAACATCCACCAGCTATCCAGGTCATTAAGGAGTGGTGAAACCCATTTCTAAAAAGCAATTTAAGGCTACTGAAGTTGAAGGCATGATTAATAAACAATAAATTACAGGTTATTGATCCCGTTAGGGAAATTTGGGTTTGGTTCTTTGGTTCCGTTTGGGAAAGAGTTTTTAATAAGTGAAGCCTTCACATCTTTAAAAATATTTTTTAAAATAGATAAATAAAAAAAAATAAAGAGAATAAATTTCACAATATTACTCTTCTGAGAGCATCATCATCGCCAACATAAATAATCATCCTCATGCTCACCATCACAATTACCATTACCGTCACCATCGCCAACATCATCATCATCATCATCACCATCATCATTACCGACTCAACAATTCCCCTTTCATTTAACAATTCTCACCATTACTTTCTTTTTACGTAACCAACAAAGGCGGGCACCAAAATCAGGACACGGGAAAAGAAAAGAAAAAAAAAAAACCTCTTCTGAAAGGCTACCAGGAATTCCTTTAACCACTATCTTCATGGACAATAACACAACAACAATATTTCCATCCACCTGTTGGGGCCGTCAGCAGGATTTTTTGTTTAAATTTCTTCACTTCTCCGCAGTCTTCTGGCCTCATCTGCTTCAAATTTTTCATCAGATCACACACAACCGCTTTCTTTAGTCCTGCTCGGTAGCAGCTGTTGTCCCCAGGCTCGGAGGCCCAATCACTTTTCAGGCGACCTGTCATCGAACCATCTCCCACTTCACTGCTCTTCCCAGTCTCGCTGGTAGTTTGAGCATCGTTATTCTCAGACACAAATGACCGACCTGCGACCTGACTGCTCCACCCCTTGTGTTTGGCATCACGAGCTGTGGCCAACTTTGTAACATGATATCCTGAAGTCTGGCCTGAGTCAGTCTGAGGAAACGTGTTTGGTATTCTCGAAACGTTTGAGGAAGCAAACAAATCTCTGTCGTCATCACTCTGTGAACCTAGCTCGACATTTTGACTGAGTACACTCTCCTCATCTGTTGTTTCCTCCAACTCCCGCCTCTTCCTGGAGGTAGAGAAAACAAAGACAGCCATCAGTATCATTGATTTAAAAGACGAATGAAACAACTCGAACATAATGACTGTCATATATTGCTGAAACAAAAATCTTGATTTTTTAAAAAAAGGATTAAAATACACAGAAAAAAGGGGGTGGGGTGGGGGGGGGGGGATTATTTTTATTTTTCAGAAATTTCTCTTGTTATGAACAAAGGCAAATAAAACATGAAAAAAAAAAATGGTAAGACAAAAATCAACAAAATGTATACCTACAAACACAACATTGCCGGTTGCCATAAGGCATAATTTTCTATATTGCACATCTCAGTTGGCCAATTTAACAACTACTGCCACATCACTACCCCAGAATTAAAAATTTTCATCTGACATTTTTGACTGTTTTGAGTTACTAAGACCACGAGGTCAGAAACCAAATCTTCTATCTGCTCAATCAAAATTGTAAGATTATTCGGAGTTGTTATAAAGATATTCAAAGAATTGCATTTAAAAAAGCTTGACACGATGTGAAACTCAAAATCTTTGACGTCAAATTTCTCAAAACAATGGTACTGAGCAGATAGAACTTTGTAATTCTGAGGTAGCGACTTGACATTGATAGGCATTATTGTAAGGACCAAGTTCACTCCCCTCGTAACTACTGGGACTGGAAAAGTTGGGAATAGGGAAGGATTTTACATGTGATTGTTTGAGTAAAGAGAAACACATTGAAACAATAATGGTTATTTAGTGCTGGGAAAAAATATGACCGACAGATGGAAACATAAGAGGGAAAGCAGAGAAGTAGGACCTACAGGTGGTGCCCTCCAACCACCCGCTTGGATTTGATAACTTCTCACAAGTTGCACTAAGAAATTGAAACGTTTTAAGGGTGTGGCACAAGCAAAATTCATTGTTTCCAGCATACCGCATTCTTCTGTTTTCTCTTCTTTTTTGTTCTTCCCCTACACCTTAGGGTTCATTCATAAAAGATTTGTTTAACCCATTGTGTAATACGGGACTAACAGCAAGAAATACCCACCTCAAATTTTTTAAAATGCATTTTAAATGATGGCTTTTACCTTTGAGACTTTTTTTTTTTTCAAATATGAAATTGTCAAAAGTATTCATAATTGAATATCCAGACCATATTTCTTTCTGCCTACAGGTAGGAAGTAAGTTTAAAACTTCCCCCAAGCCTGCAAGCCGGTACAGGCCTGCTTTTCTTTACTGTACTTTCTTCAGCAGATATGTCTTCAACCTGCACAAAGAGCACACAGGACCTTCAAGTACTTTGTCCATGAAAAATTGGAAGCTTTATCTCACATCAGGAGGTTGCAAGACCTGTAAACCCCCTTCCCAGCTGTTCCATCTAATGCACTCGCATGAACCTGGAACTGAACTAAAAAAACACTAGCACGAGTGACAAGCACTTTTCCTGTATGTCCTTCCAATCCTTATAGGATTGGCGCTCATATGACCTTATGCTGTTGCGAGCGCCGTAAAACCCTCTACTATAAAAATAAAAATCCTTATAGGTGGCTGTGAAAAAAAACAACCAATGATACACAGGAAATTTTGCTTCGATCACAACAGAGTACTAAAAAAAAGTTAGATACTTTCACTTCTTTCATTTTGTTCCGTTTCCAACTCGAATTTTGAAAAAAAAAAAAAAAAAACCCAAACCTGTTGATATTTTCAACCTGCTTCATTCAACAGCCACTCACATTTCACACAGGTGTTGCAGGAGTGTGGTGACCACTGTTGTTTTGCCGCAGCCACCGCGCCCCGACAGCACCGTGACGGGCAGACTGGACATCAGGTGTAAGGCTTTCATTTGGGTCTGGTCACTGCGCATAGCTTTAAAATCATCAGCGCTGAAAGAGGAACATAAGTTCTTTGTTTACAATTGGTCGCTTTTAAGGGCAAGCGGGCTAACCCAGATTTCGGGAGTTTCCAGAAATCTTGACCTATACCAAAAGTGGGCATTACTCTACCAATAGGAAAAGTTTGGTTTCATTGGTGTGTATATTTGTTTGGTTATAGAGAAAACTCTCCTTGTCTTTTAAAGAAACTGAACAAGGGGCAAAAACTTTACCTTCGATTTTCTCGAAACAGCATTTTTCAGGACAGCCCCTTGGTGCTTAAAAGCGACCAATTACAGTTGAAACTATCTAAGACAGCCACCCATTGGTGAGGAGAAAAGTGGGCGTGTTAGGCAGGTGGTGGTCTTATACGGTGCCATTATAATGCAAAAAAATATGCAAGTGAGGAAATGGGAAATGGCCATTTGTACAGGTGATTGTCTTATATGGGTGACTGTGTCTGTTAGAGCAAGTTCGACTGTAAAAGCAAAACTTTGAGCTTGTAATGTAATAAATTTTGTTTAACTTAAGAACACTCCACAAGTAAGAAGAACAAACTTAACCCATGTTTTAAAAGGGATAAAACTGAAATTAATATAAATTTCAGAAAGCAAATTCGAGAACTGTCTCATGATGTGTCAATACAAGTATTCATATAGGACTAATCAACATCTATACCAGAGCTTGTCAACCTTTTATCAGCCACGCCCTAACTTTTGCCACCTTTGAGAAGCTAAAATTTTCCTACTGTTCATCTATCTGTATTTCCAAGAAGGGCATAAAATAACACGTTTCTACAGGGTGATTCCCACCACCCACCAAAATTACCAAACTACCCACTTGAGGACTAGACCCCCCATTACCTAATGTACAGAATACAGCTAAGAGAATGAAAGTTTAACGAAAACTGTAACTAAAATACTACCAGAATCAATTTAAAAAATTGCGGCATAACACAATATACTACAGACTTGACCATGTAGGTCTATACCTTAAAAAAAACCCCAACATAACCGCAACACTATTCGGTGGATGCGAATCCTATTTACTTGTGACTAACCTGTTGAAATTGATTCTCCAGCGAAGGGGTTCGCGTTTATGCTTCTCCATCACCTCCAGAATTCCATCAGCAACATCCACCTCAGCTTTCCAGTTCTGGTAGAGGAATACGTTCTTATCACAGTCAAACGTCTCCACTTTCACCACCTTGTGGACTTCCAGATAATCTAAGGCAGCAGTCCATCTCTGCTCCTGTGCACCGGGGAGAGGTTAACTTTTTCAATATTATATATATGTGTTGAAGTGTTTAATGCAATACTATAGGCAATCTAATTGAAAAATAAAACTTCTTTTACATAAACTTCTGATTCCATCTGAGTTACACTCTGATATTCTGAAACTACAGTGCCTTTTCAGGTAACATTTCACTCACCTCAGTGACGCCCACTCACACTTGTAACTGGGAGAGATGGACGGTCAATTCAGAGGTTCCCCCTTACTTCAAAACTTTACCGTGTTCACAGGAAGGATAAAAACCATAGCAGATAAATAAAACACACTGCTGTGAAAGAAAGAATAGATTTTAAATGGCGTCTTTCACTTGGAACCTTCAACTAATCCGAGGACCACACCTGACTACAAACATGCATGGTTGACTAAAGCAAAAGAGATCTCTTGATTTGCTGAACAAAAACGAACCCCGGCTAGATTCAGAAGCCCACTGATTTCTCATATAAACATATCAGAGAGATTACAAAAATTATGCTTCACAGTCGACCCCATTCACTCTCATAGATTTGCCTCAATCAAAACCATTCTATTATGTGAGAAAGGAACAAAACTAACCCCACTGATTACGTATTTGAGTGTATGGAAGTGAGCCGACATTTTCAGCTGCCGCAGACTACTGAAGAAGTGCCCATATTTGCGACCGTCCGTTTTCAACACCTCGTAGATAAACAAAGCATCTTTCTCCATTTGTGGAATGCGGGATAAGTATCCAGCTTTATCATAAGACGACAGGGATGCCTCAGTCCCCAAAATATGAAGCTTCTGGGAAATTATCTGGGAAAAGAGAAATGGAAAAAAACCACACAAACAAATTACTGATAAAGTTATAAAAGCGATCTTAGTAATGCTAAATGATAACAATAATAATGACAATAATCATAATAATAGTAATATTTATCAAGTTTGTGTATTCAAAGTTGAAGTGACAGGAATAGAAATGTAGTTTGCCAGAAGAAATCAAACTATTAAATATTATACTTTTACATAAAATGGAAACAAGTCATAAATAACAATAATATATAAACAATAATATATAAGCAGCATTTGTACAGCGCATATCCCGGCTCGACAGCAAGCTTTATGACCTTAACACTTTATTATTACCCCAGCAGACCATAGAACACTCAGAAAGATTATCAGCTTCCCGAGAAGCAACAGAAAAAGTGCTCAAACACAAACAAACTGACAAGATCTTTCACTGTCTATAGCTGGGTACCCATTCCCACCTGGGTGAAGTGAGGAAAATTCGTGTAAAGTGCCTTTCCCAAGGACACTACGTCGGACCCCTCATGGGATTCGAACCCACAACCTTACGGTTGCGAGTCTGAGAGCCTATCCACTTGGCCACCGACGCCTAAAAACCAGTTGTGCATAAGAACCTACTCCTTTGTTTACCGGTGGTCAGATTCATAGCCAGACACCACTGTACCATTTTGAGGCTGTACTGTGAGTAAAAGTATGTTTATTCGGTGTTTAAGGGCTATTGGCCCACATCACATCATATAAAGCACTCATTTGTTAGAGTTTCCATTTTGAGGCTCGTTTGCAAAGAATGCTGTAAAAAAAATTCCCATGTCTGTAACAATTGTTAACTCATTATTTCCATCAGGCAACTGTCAGTGACTTGTGGTCTGAGCTGCTGTGCAGGTGAACAGCTGTCAGAAGCCTGGACTCTCTCTCTCTCTCTCTCTCTCTCACACACACACACACACACACACACACACACACACACACACACACACACACATACACCACACACAAACACCACACCATACACGCACACACACCACACCACACACACACACACAATGTTTTTATAAACAATAATGGTAGTACGCTGCATTAATTTCCCTGCACTGCGGAAAAAGAATGATCGAATTGGCTTCAGGTCTTTTGATTTCATGACCAATTTAATGATGAGTATGTCCCTCTCAGGTTCCATACCAAAGAACGCCCCAGCATAGTGTGTTTTTGTTTTTAGTAAGGTTTTACAATGCTCGCAACTGCATAAGGTCATATGAGCGCCAAGGGGTGGTTGTCAACAGAGAAGTCCAAACGCGGAATCTGGCTTACTCTGTTCACCTCTCTAGCCTCAACAGCACAAAGTCTGCTTTGACTATCAAGGCACCCCGGAAATAGCAGTTCACAAGAGAGTGACAAAGATACAAAAGAAGTAGAGGAAAATGATGATAGTAAGGATGAGGAAAGAAAAAAATAGCAGTTCCCACTATATTGTTCTGGCACAGTTATGAGCATGACATTGATGTTGTTGTTGTTGTTGTTATCGATCCAGCAACATCTGGGCTCTCACCCTTCTGTCCAATGCCAGGTAGTGATAAGTGCAGGTTTGCTGTAGTTGCTGTAATGTTCCGTAGAGTGTGTTGTCGAAGTTAGGTCTCGGAGGGAGGAGGGTAGCTCTGATGTCATTTAGGGCTGTACAGCGTAAAAGGTGATGTTCCACTGTCTCATGTGCATAGTCACACAAAGGACACATTGGGGGAAGTTCTGGTTTTATTCTGTTCAAGTGAAAGTTGAGCTGTATATGTTCTGTTCGTAGGCGGAAGATCGTGGTCTGTTTCTTTCTCTGAAGGTGGTTGATATTGTCATTTCGTTTTGTTGTAGTCATATGTTTGAAAACTGTTCTGCCTGTCTTTCCCAAGGCCCATCTGTTTATCCAATCTTGTTTGCAGTAGCTTTTAATGATTTGTTTTGCAGTGTTGTATGAAGATGGAATGTTGGGTTGTTCCTGTCTAGATCCCCTTTTGGCGAGTGTGTCTGTTCTGTCATTTCCAGGTATGTTTGAGTGTCCGGGAATCCACTGCATCACCAGGTTGACGCCACAAAATGTTATCAGATGATGGGAGCCAAACAGTATATGAGTCAATGCTTCATTTAGATGGTGGTCATTTTCTATTGCTTGCAAGACCGATAGTGAGTCAGTGAAGATCACTATACTCTGTGTTTTGTTTGGATGAGTGTCAAAAACTGTGCGGAGATGGTATAGTGCTGTTTCAATTGCTATCATTTCTGCGTCATAGTTGTTGCATTTCTCTCCACAGGCTGCAGGGATCTCATTGGAACTTCCATCTGGGTATTGTATTAGTATTC